ATGGTTCTACAGAGTGCAGTCTCCTTTAATTGCAGCCTTGAGGGTAAAGTAATTACTTTAATGGCTAAACAATTTGCACTGAAGAGAAGGCATACAGCAGTGGATATTCCCACAGCTGGTAAAATCAAATGTTTAAGTACCAAATATATATATATATTCCCCCCCCCCCAAAGGAACAAAAAACTTGTTGAATAAAACCTAACAAAGAATTCACCATGAAATGCAGGACAAAAGGTTGCCTTGCCTGGAAGTGCTTAAATATTAAACTATGGTATTTCCAACAGCAATTCTCTTAAGAAACATATGGTTATTAGGCTTTCTGCAGTATTAAGTAAAGTGGACGCTATAACGGCTGTTGCCATAGTAGCCTGTATTTTAATGGCATTTAACAAGAACAAAAATTGTGGGCAAAATTGCCTTAGTTCTTAGATTCTCTTGGTTTAAGTGAAAATATTCACAGCTGGGAAGTAGGGTTTCAAGAAGTATTTTTAATGCAACAGAGAAAAGGCTTACCTGATGGGCAGAAAGAGTTAATACTTGTCCAAAAAGACTAACAGTATTGCATGACTGACCAATGGAGAAAGTGGGAACCTATGGGTAGTATAAAAGGTTAAATGCTTGGCTGCTAACGAAAAGGCTGGCAGTTCAAACCTATGAAGAAAGGCCAGGCAATCTAGTTCTGAAAAATGAAACTCTACAAAATCATTGCTATTGAGTCAGAACTGACTCTTAGCTGATCCTCCAGTGGGTTTTCAGGAGGCTGTATGCCAAAGAGGAAAAGACTACCCGTTTTTCTGTCACAGAACCACTTCTGACACACGTGGGGCCACCATGAGTCAGTCAACTCCATGGCAGCTGGCTTTAGTTTAAGACATAAAGTGGAAACCTGAAAGATCCACTAATCAAGTAAGTCGGTATTGATACTTAAGAAGACATTATAACATACCAAATACAGACTCTGAGTTGAATGCTTTCATTTAAATATAAAATGAAATGGTCAAAGATTCCATGCAATTTTTCACCTCTTATATTTCTCTTCTTTTATTCTCCAAGTTGTTACTTAATTTTCCAGGAATTATACCATATTGAAACAAGCATATGAAGCATCACTTATTTGAAGCATTACATGCTTCATTTACCCGAATTTCCAATTTAAGATCATGATTTAGATATTGAAGAAATAACCAAAATCTCTCCCTTCCTGTTTCAGTAATCTCAGCTCACTTGGCATTTTGCCTATGGGCCTTCCTTTGGTTTCCCTTCCAATTCTTCAGGGGATTTGATCATTGTCCCCAAATCCATTCCTGTCAAGCGGATCTGGACTCATGGTAACCCTCCTCTGGGCTTCCAAGGCTGTAAATCTCTACAAAAGGACTGCCCATCTTTTTCTCCCATTGAGATGTTGGTGGATTTGAACCACTGACCTTTTGGTTAGCAGTGCAAAATGTAGTGCATTACACAAACAAGGCTCCTTTTCATCTCTGCAGCTTTCCTCCCAACTAAGGTGCTTTAATCAGTGCCCGCTGGTTAATTATCTGGACGGTCAGTAGAGCGTCCCGGCCTATCCTTCAAACTATCTCACACACAGGAACCTTTCCTTTCATCAAAGTCTTTTCCTTAAGTTCCACAAAAATATCCAGGTGCTGTTGAGTTGATGTGACTCCTAATGACTCCGTGACTGTCAGTGTCAAACTTGCTCTGTACGGTTTCTGATGGCTAGTTTTACAAGTGGAGCACGTGAACTTTCTTTCTAGATGCCTTTGGATGAACTTTCAATTTTTTTGTTAACAGCTATTTGCACCACTGGTTACACGATCATCTGGCATTTCACTATAAGCCCTTGTGGTTGTTGTTGTTATGTGCCATTGAGTTGCTTGTGACTCATAGCGACCCTATGTACAATAGCCCTAAACTCTGCTCTGTCCTGTAATCTCACTGCCTCTGACACACCCATCCCGATTACCCCAGTCACTGAATCAATCCACCTCATAGAGGGTCTTCCCCTCCTGCACTGTCCCTCCACCCTCCCAATCATGATGTCCCTCTCCAAGGTCCTGTCCCTCCTTACAACATGTCCAAAATATGTTAGACGAAGCCCCAGAATCCTTGCCTCCAAGGAGCAGCCTGGTTTAACTCTCTCTAGGATGAATCTGTTTGTTTTCTTGGCAGTCCATGGTACATTCAATACTCTTCTCCAGCATCACAGCTCAAAGGCATCAATTCTCCTTCTATCCTCCCTAGTCATTGTCCAACTCTCTGAGGCATAACAAGTGATTGCAAAGACCATAGCCTGTATCAGACGCACCTTATTATCCAGAGTGACACCATTGCTCTTCAGTACTTTAGAGAGGTCCCTAACAGTAGACTTTCCCATCGCAATACATTTTTTGATTTCCTGGCTACTGGTGCTAAGAGTGTTGACTGTGGAGCCAAGCAGACTAAAGTTGTTAACAATCTCAATCTCTTCACCATCCATCCTGATGCTACCAATTGGTCCAGTGGTGAGAATCTTTGTCTTCTTGACATTGAGCTTCAATCCATACTGAAGGCTACAGTCCTTGACCCTCTCCAACAGGTGCTTCAGGTCCTCCTCAGTTTCAGCAAGCAGGGTTGTGTCATCTGCATAAAGCAGATTATAACCCCTTACATTTTCTTTTGTTACTTTTCTATCATTAGCTCTTTCTCCTTGCCCTTACGATTACCACACCCAAAGGCCTATAAAAGTGCAGGAGTCTTTAGTTCAGGGATCACTTACCCCATACCTGAGCTCACCCACCTGACTTTTGCCTGGCATGATTTTCTGTTGCACCTCTTGATCCTTAGCTCTCTTTTAACTCTATACTTGCTTAATTTCCAGCCCTTTAACAGGCTACCAAGAAGACCCTGTATGCCACAAATGTTCAAGGGCTCAGCTTCTAAGAGAAAGGCTGGGGATTCAAATCGCTCAGTGGCACCTCAGGAGAAAGGCCTGGCGATCAGCTTCCAACAGGTGTCAGCCCTCCCAAGCCGTATGCAGCAGAATGACCCACTGCACACGTGGGGTCTTCAAGCGTCCACAGTGACTCAATAGCAACCATTTAGCATGCCACCACAGCAACTTTTGGACCTCATTCTGCTCCCAATTCCTAATCCAAACAGCCAAAATGATATTGACCTTTGAAATCCTATTTCTGAAATCTACAACTATACTTCCTCAATGCACACTCTTCTTCCTCTTGTCCCTGGCAATCCAATCACACACTCTCTGCTGTGACTTTTCTTTTACTTGCCAGCTTAGACTATTAGCGAGGAGCACCTAATCCTCCCATTTATACCAGGTGCTGTGGGAACACTTTCCACTTCAAACAAACTATTCAATCTGAAAGAGTCAAGTTCAAGGAGTTTAGCTACCTTGATCAGAATGTCAGTCTGGTAAATTATCAGGAGAGTCAGTACAGGGCTCCTGCCTGTCCTTCAACTATAGCTAAGCTGTAAGGCTTTCTCTTCCTTCAAATTAGTATTTCTTTTCCTTTGATTCCATAGAAAATCAGAGGCTATTAAGTTGACTTGACTCCTGTTGAATTAGACGCCTTCAGCCAGTTCTCAAAACTCCATGTTTCTCTAAAGACCTTCCCACTGCACAAGCTACATGTCAGAGCTTACGCTATTAGGTATCCCCACAACAAAGCTCAAGGAAAACTCTACCACGATGACAGGTCCCAGGGGAATTGGGAGAGCAGAATTGAATGCACAGTAAATGAACATAGTAATGTAGCAAGACAAGGGAAGGTCACCTGGGAAGAACTGAAAACAGGCCAATATGGCTACTGCAAATAGGACAAAGGTATGCATAAGTGTTGAAAAGGGGAAGGAGTAGGGGAGAAAAGGAGTAGATGAAGGCGGGAAAGGGTTAAAAACAAAACAAAACACCCTACTAGGGCGGGAGAGATGAGTGGACGGAAGGAGAGGAAGAGTGAAGGACTAGGCAGAGTGCATTGAGGATCTGATGAGAAGGGGTGGTAAAAGGCTATGACTATCAATTAATTAGTATTGCTCAATATTAATTATATTAAAAGAAACCACAATGTGTATGAATGACTGTATAAAACAATGTACATGAATGAAACACAGCGTGTATGAACAATTATATGCAAACCAATAAAAAAGGCAAGGGTAGAGGGAGGGGACAGGTTCCCTGGTTCCATCATTTAGGAGACTGAGAACGGCAGTAACAAGCATTCACTTTTTACTTCATAACGAAAATCTCTTTAATGAAAAATACATGGTTGTGTGCTGTTGAGCCGATTTTGACTCCCAGTGACCCTAGTGGACACAGTGAGGACTTCTAGTGGCGTCTTCGTAGGAAGTGGAGCTGCTGACCCAAAGGTGGAAACTCTGGCAATGCGAATCCACCAGCAGCTCCTCCCATGTGGTTAACAGCTTCCCAAAAACTCACTGGAGGATCAGCTCCAAGTCAATTCTGACTGGATGACAGTTTTAAAGGACAGAGTAGAACTTTTCCATTGTGTGATCCTTATGGAAGCAGATCTATAGGTCTTTTCTTTCACAGAACAATGATTGGGTTTTGAACTGCTGATCTTTCGATTAGCAACCCGAAGCTTAGCCAGGGCTCCACCACGGCTCCTTGGGGAAATATAGAGCCTATAAATGATTTTTCCTTGTTACATATTTTGTCTAAGTTGTCAAAAAACTACAATTTTCCATCAAGATACCTCAAAGGATTTTGACTTCTGGTCTGTAGATGCCATTTGACGTTTTACAGGATGGAACTATATATGATGACTAACATGAAGTGAGTATCAGACACTGGACTGGGAGTTTCAGTCAATCCTCTCAGCAATTCTCCAACCTATTTTTTTAGTCAGATGTTAATCAGTGATGATGGGCCCGAGCAGAACAATTCAATGGCCATTGATTGTCACCCAAAACTGCTTCCAAGTTAGCAGGTTTACCTGAAGTGCTCGTGGTAGGGATTCCCACACAAGACAGGAATCACTCACCTGCACAGGGACTGGTGGCGAAGCCCACCCTCTTCCGAGCTCTGTCAAAGATGACGTAAAAGCCCTCCATCACCGTAGCACCGATCACCAGCGCGTTCGCGGAAGGAGAGATGCCGAAGCGGTAGCACTCATAATTCAGGCCAGCTCCCAGCATGGGCTGGATGTAAAGCTGTTTGTGTACAAGAAGGAGCAGAGAAGGCAAGAATCAGGCAATGACATAAAATTATCGCAGTCACGATTATGCGCGGAACTCCATCCTTCCAGCCATCCTTCAGTTAGCAACGTAATGAGCACTTACTATGACTCAAACACCACGTCCTACAAGCTCAGCTCATTATTCAGTAATATAACGAGGAGTGTGATGTCCCTGTCCTCTAGAAGGTCCCATCCAAGATAAAGAGCCCACTAAGCACGGTGAGTCAGTGATCTAAGAGGCTCATCTCTTGGTAGCTTCGATCAGCTCATCACTCCTTTCTCTTTGAAACCTTCTTTCCTTGGCCTCGGAATGAGTAACATTTGTTTCATCCTCCCCACTCACTGGTTGTTATTTTTCAGGTATCTGTTTTGGACTAGTTTTGTTTTTAATTTATCGTATTTTTTTATGAAAGGGGCTGAGTAAAGAAGTGGCACAAGCATATAAAGTGCACAAGGTACATGGAAAACTAACTGGAAGGAGCTGCACAATTTGTAGAAACCACGTCCCACTTGTGTTAGGAAATGGTAAGCCCTGCAGGAGCCCTGCTGGAGCAATGGTTATGCACTCAGCTGCTAATGGAAAGGTCAGTGGTTCAAACCTAACCGGTGACTCCAAAGAAAAAAGGTTTGGTGATGTACTTCCATAAAAATTACAGCCTAGAAAACCCAAAGAGGCACTTCCACTCCTTCAGACGGGGTATCCTGGGTCCTGACAAATGACAACAAGAAGGGCGGTCACAGGTGTGTCTATGTGTAAGAGTACAAGTGTGGGCACAGGCGTGCGTGTACACACACCCCCCCCCCACACACCCATTCAGTTAATGGATTCAATGGTAAAACCCCAAGCAGTGCTCAAATGTGATGGAGAAGATGATGTTAATGCAGTTGGCTATCAAACAGGACACAATCTGAGCTGGCACCCTCAGTCTGTTCCTTCTGTATGTGTCTCAGTTGACGTCCAGTGAGAATTACAGACTGTAAATTCTGTAACACTGGGAAGTTTCAGAACTGCTAGATCTCAGAATAAACTGACTGCATTAAAACCAAAATAGCACAAATACAAAGGAGAGGTATTAAGGCTGAAATATTTACATTTCTATGGTGATATGAGTGGGGAAATAAGAATTTGTTTGGGAGTTGGAGCTGGGGGCTGTTTTTACAACAGACCAAGTAAGATTCAGTCTATGTGTTTGGAAAATAATGTTGAACTAGACAAAAATTAAAGGTCACACTGTCTGCCCTAACTTTTCTGTACTTGAGACCATTTGCCCATTGATGAACAGAAGGTACTAGGGAGGAGTTCTGCTTTAAAATGCTGGTGACAAGGGACATCCCTGACAGACTTAAATACTAGAAAGGGAATGTCCACATTGAATCATGGCTCTCTCCCAAAATATGGGGAAGCTATTCAATAATCCCTCAATGATCTGATAAACTGAAGAGTTGTAAAAGCTTTTAGGGTAGAATTTAACACCTTTTAATTCCATCACACCCTTGATCCATATAAGAGAAATTTCCCTAGAGTGTGGCCTGAAATATCTTTTATCCCACAAGAGATCACAGGGGAGGAAAGAGAGCTGAGAGGGGTGAACTCTCAGTGAACAAGAAAGGATGGCCAGGTGGGGAATGCATGCTCTGGTACTGAGGTCCCTGGAATGGGAAGCTTCTTGGCACAGGGAAAACCAAGACAGTGGAAATCTCTAAGTATTATCAGACATACAGATGCAGAAGGATTCATGGACATTCCTCCCAAACCAACAGAGAGAAAAAAAACAAACACTTCTAGATTTGGAATTTTACTCTTTTAAACTATAAGAAAATACATTTCAGTCAGCAAAAATAATTTACTTGTGGTATATCTGTTATAACAGATAACTATGCAATTAGGGACCTCTTCAAATTATTGAGGAGCAATGATGTCAGTATGAGGACTAAGGTGCATCTAATTCAGGGCATGGCCTTTCTGATCATTTGTTATGCATTTGAGAGCTGGACAGTGAATAAGAATGACAGAAGAAGAATTGAGCCTTTGAGCTGTGGTGTTGGAGAAGAGCGCTGAACATCGACCACCAGAAGAACAAACAAATACGTCTTGAAGAGGGTGCAGCCAGAGTGTTCTTTGGAGGCAAAGTTGGTGAGGCTTTGTCTCATTGATTTTGGGAATGTTGCTAGGAGGGGCTGTTCTTTGGAGAAGGACAATCATGTTGGGAAGGTTAAGGGTTGGAGAAGGAGAGGAAGACCTTTGACCAGGTGGATTGACACAGTGACTGCTTCAATGAGCTCCAGTGTGTCAGGAGGTACGAGGATGGCAGAGATAGGAGGAGGTTCAGATTTGTTGCTGATAGTGTCACAATGGATCATGCTAGACTCAACAGCACTTAACAACAAGATAACTAAGATGGGGATTCAGAGAGGCAGAGTAGAGAGATGATTCCTCTCAGAGTCTTTCCTGAAGGAATTGTTGGAGGCACATAGAGCTTATAAGGTTCTCATTAACTTCTTGTTAATGTCCTTTTTTAAAAAATTACTATATATATTGGTTTATATACAAAGTTCATAAAGCTCATATACATTGTGGGAGGTTCCTTTTCCAGTTCATAAGCATATACATTGTGGGACTGGTGAAGGAAAGGGGAAAGGTCCAGTGTCAATGTCCTTTTAAGAACAAGGCTGTTGCTGATGTTAGCTGTCATCAAGTGTGCTCTTAACTTGGGGTGATTCCACACTGTGGATAAGACCACTGTGACCCACAGTGAAAATCAGTTACCAGGCCTTTTTTTCTAGTCTGTATTCATCTAGAAACTGTTCAGCACCACACAAGACATGTGGGTGGTGGTGGTGCACTAGGTTCTTTGGTTGGGAAATAAACCCAGGTTTCGGCATGAACGAGGAGGATTCTACTACTGAACCATCATTGCCCTCTATCTTCAACAGGCCGCAGAAAGTTAATGAGATGAGATGTAGGAAAACAGAGGGGAAAGCATATGTGTTGAAAGTGAAAATGTGAACATGTCAACCAAAACCCACAACCTTAAAAGTGATAGAAGAATTATTTTACAAAGGTATGCAAATGAAGTAAGACCTTGCAAATCAGCCCTCTTTATAACTCTGGCTCTCTGAGGGCTGGGTGCTAAAAGCCACTAGAGATTCCATGGTGGCCCTTCAGCCTTGATGGTCATCACCTGCCTTGCATGTAATAGACTTTTTTCCCCATGGACGTCTGCTTTTTCCTCTTATTTCTTTAAGCCCCCTGCCTCTGCTTAGCAACCTTCATGCCATTTATTTACATAATCATCCTGTCTTCAAGCTGGGGTCTGACTTCAGTTACAAACCACGTTGATGAAATAATGTTCACATTTCACTATTAGACTGGCCAGAATTTTATCACTGTAAGTACATTATTTTAAAGGTGCCAGAGACATATCAGTCTGTGCAGGGCTATTCAGTCAAGGATACTGCAGTCTTTAGAAACTGTCTCTGGTAAGTATTATTATTTCTTCTTTATAGTTAACACAGAGACAGACACAGAGAGGGCTAAGTGATTTGCTCAAAGATACAGGGAGAGTCAAGGGCAGTGTTGAGCATAACTCAAGCCTCTTGCAGACAACCATACGTATCCTCTGCTGGCCAAGCTCCTTGGGAAGTCTTCAGTCTTCCATGCTATATATCTCCATTACAGGAGTATACATCGACACCCGCAAAATGGAAAAATAAGAACAGGTAACATCATTTACTGTTTTCTTTTGAAAGTATTGCTCCTTCTCAACACCCAAGTAGAAGCCCTTTATCCTAAATCCTTCCAATTATAACAAATACGTATTAATTAGTGCATCCCATAAGAGTAATTAAGCACCTATCTTCTACTGCCAATAGTGTTGGGCAATGTGCTATGGATTGATTGTGTCAATATGGGTTGGATATGTGTTTGGCTATTGTTATTAATCATTAGTTGTTGTTGGTGTGTGCTGTGGAGACAGAGCTGACTCATAGCAGACCCTTTGGCGAGTTTTCAGAAGCAATAAATCATCAGAGGCAGTAAACTGCATGGGAGGAGACTGCCCATCCTTGTCTCATGGAGTGGCTCAGGGATTCAAATGGCCTGCCTTTTGAGATTGCAGTGGCATTTCTTAGCACTAGGCCACCAGAGCTCCCTCATCATTGTTTCTGTGTACTGTCAAGTTGGAACCAACTCATGGCTGACCCCTCCAGCAGGTTTTCAGAGGCAGTTAATTGCACAGGAGGAGATTGCCCATCCTTCTCCAACAGAGCAGCTGGTGGATTTGAACCAGCAGCCTTTGGAATTGAAGTACAGCTTCTTGCCACTAGGCCACCAGAGCTCCCTAATCATTGTTGTTGTTGTTAAGCCCTGTTGAGTCGTAGGTGAGTCATAGCGACTCTATGAATGAAAATTCTCGACACTTGCGTGACTTCCATCCTCTCTCCAGGTTCATAGGGTTTCCGGAGCCAAGCTTTTCGGAAGTGGATGCCACTCCGCCTTCTAAGCTTGTTTTAATGGGGGAGCTCCACCAAACACTGTCCACCATGGGTAACTGTTATCGCATTTGACACATCAGTGTCACAGTATTCAGCTTCACAGCAACCACAAGTTACCTCTGTATGGCAAGTGGACATACCAGGGCTATACGGCCTAGAAGAATGTTTGACTTATCATTGGTTGCTATTGTTGTTGTTTGTTGTTGTTATGTGCCGTCGAGTCACTTGTGACTCATAGCGATCCTATGTACAACAGCCCTAAACTCCGCTCTGTCCTGTGCCAATCACACCATCTCCGATACACCTATCCTGATTACCCCAGTCACTGAATCAATCCACCTTATAGGTGGCCTTCCCCTTCTGCACTGTCCCTCCACCTTACCAAGCATGATGTCCCTCTCCAAGGACCAGTCCTTCCTTACAACATGTCCAAAGTATATTAGATGGAGCCTCAGAATCGTTGCCTCCAAGAAGCTGCCTGGTTTAGCCCTCTCCAGGATGAATCTGTTTGTTTTCCTAGCAGTCCATGGTACCCTCAATACTCTTCTCCAGCACCACAGCTCAAAGGTATCAATTCTCCTTCTATCCTCCTTGGTCATTGTCCAACTCTCTAATGCATAACAAGTGATAGCAAAGACCACGGCCTGTATCAGACGCACCTTAGTCTCCAGGGAGACACCATTGCTCTTCAGTACTGGTTATTTTATAACTTGTCACTATCAAATCAATGACACCCTATGCTCTAGAGTAGAACTTCTCCACTGGTTTTTCCTGGCTGTAATTTGTATGAAAGCAGATCATCAAGTCTAGAAAACTTTATGACTAGGAAGCTCTTTGGCCTAGTGGTAAAAAGCTGTGTTGCAATCCGAACCAGACTGTGGTTCAAACCACCCTGTAGCTCCCCCGGGGAACAACCCCATCCACCCACAAGGTCAAAACCCACAAGGTCAAAAGAGCTAAAAAAAAAAGAAAACTTTATGAAGCAGTTCTACAGGTCACTGTGAATTAAAGATTGACTGGATGGCACCCAGCAACAATAATCCAGGCCTACAGATGTGCATGGCTGAATGGGTTCCAGACATTAACTTTTAAGTTAGTGTTCAAACATGGATCATTTGTGGCTGCCGTGGCTCTGTCAATAGTAACAACCAAGTTAATAAAACATGCCGGAATCCTAACCCTTCATCAGTGTGTGCAGTGTCTTATGATGTAGTCACCTTCCATATGCAGTCTAACGCTGTCAGTGAGACCACACATCTGTGCAGGGTCCCGAACCTCGTCACCTGACTTCTCAAAAAAGAACAAATTAGACATAGAACTAAGCACAAAGCCAGAAGACACATGGATGCCACCGAGACTCAAGGAATGACGGGGTTAAAAAAGCTGAAAGAGGCAGGAAAAAAAATTCCTGTAGCGCCAACAGAATCTTCCCCTAGAGCAACACTTTGAATTCAGATTTCTAGCTTCCTAACTGTGTGAAAATAAATTCCTGTTCTTTAAAGCCACCCAGCTGCCTAGTTCTGTTAGAGCAGAACTAGTAGACTAAGAATCGTATGAAGGAAGGATCATTTTTTAAATTCATGGTTCTCATCTCTGATTTAAGTGGAAAAAAAATAAAATCCAACAAAACACCCAAACACAGAAGTCAAATGAAAAAGGCAACAATATAAATAGAACTTAAAGGTACAATTCCATGCAGACGAGTGGCCTGGGAGGGACGCATTGGGAGTCTGAAGAACAAGTTCACCAGTAGGTTATTCTGCTTAGCAAAAGTTTCACAAACTGGGGCATGCTCAAGGGGGAGAATGTGGGTACAAAGATGAACAAAGAGGAGGAGGCGCTTCCAGTATGTGGGTGGGAGAAGCAATGGGGGCTGCGGAGTATCAATGATCAAGGCTGAAGAGCAAGGGAGAGTCCAGGAACACAGGTTCCTCAAAATCATATTGGGAAATGTATTGCTGTGAGATGTCAGCCCAATGCACATGTATACCTATGTTTACTGCAGCTTTGTTCACAATAGCAAAGAGTTGGAAACAACCCAAGTGGATAGAGACAAATGGATAGAGAAGCTGTGGTATATTCACATAATGGAATACTAAGCTGCACTGAAAAACAAGGAACTCATGCAATATTATTCAAAATGGGTAACCCTGGTGACATTATGCGGAGCAAAATATCTCAGTCACAAAAGGACATATACTGGATGATGCCATTGTTGTAAAACAGGACTGACATCGGGGTTGGGGGGAGACTGAGAAAGAGGGGATAAATAGTGTATACTGCATTGAAACAGATGAGGGAGAAAACTGTTTTAAAGGGATATATTATTAGGTATTATTGTCATGACAGGAGTCGAGAACAAAGGCTGCATAGTGGAGTGGACCTGGGGAGAGGGATTGTATAACAATTAAAGAATTTTTCTTTTACTTTTCAAAGAGAAGAGCAAACTGGGGGGGAGGGGTGGGGAGGGAGAAAAGTACAACTATGAATGAATGGAAACCCTAAGTCTCTCTAAACTTTCATTATAATTAATAATAATAATTTAAAAAATCATGTTGGAAAATGTATTGCTGTGAGTCGTCATCATGTCAGCCCAATACACAATGGAGTGAGAGGCCACTCAGTTCTGAACCATGCCCATGTCTGTTGTGGACTGGGCTGTTGTGCTCTGCAGGGTTTTCAATGGCTAACTCTTGGAAGAAGATCACCAGGCCTTTCTTCCTAGTTCTTCTCTGCTTGGATGCTCCACTGAAACCTGTGTGGCATCATACCAACACAGTCTTGTTGATAAACATGGTGGCTGTACATGAGATGTAGCAGCTGGGAATCAAACCCAGGCCTGCTTCATGGAAGGAGAGAAATCTGTTTCTGACCCACCATGGTCAGGAAATGTAGCTTCCAGTGTTTAAATTGTTGGGACTCAAGTGCTCCCAGTGGGGAAGAGTGAGATGAAAGCTGTGATATAGGAAGAAAAGTTCAGTCATGCTTTATAAAGAAGAGTCCTGGGGCTTGGGAAGTGTGAAGCCCTCTCTGGAGGTTAGTGGGGTGGTGGGGTGGTGAGGAGCAGAATAGAGCTAAGTGACAGGAACAGGAAGCAGTGAAACAACAAAAGAAGACAGAACATGGCATATTTAACTAGACATTCAGGATGAGGAGTCAATGATGCCATTATCTCTCTGACAACTGGGCTTTATCATTATTAATAATTTAAATCAACTACTATTTAGCCAATTCCAACTTGCAGTGACCCTATAGGACAGAGCAGAGCTATACTCTAGGGTTTCCAAGACTGTAGACTTTCACACTGTCTCATCTTTCTCCACCCTCACCTTTTAGAGTGGTTGTTTGGTGGGTAGCAGACAAGTGATTAACCACTGAGTCAGCAAGGCTCTTTTATCATTACACGGGAAACTAAAGATAGGGTATTGTGGTAGATAGCTGGAAAATTGCCTCCCTAGTTCCTTTGCCTTTTGCAATAGGACCGCAAGTCTTCACTGAGAGCTAAAACCAAACCTGTGGGAGTAGAGTCAATTCCAGCTCATAGTAACCCTCTATCAGGCTTCTCTAAATCTTTATTGGAGACTGGGGAGCAGCTGGTGGATTCAAACCACCAACATTTTTCATTAGCAACTCAACATGTAATGTGCTATGTCACCTGGACTTGTTTAGTCACTGAGAGAAGGAGTCTAGTTCTCGCTCCAAGGACCACGGCTGGGTAGCATATTGAAAGTGGGTGGCAGTTTGGAGTCTAGACTCTAAGAGCCTTTGTGTGCTTTTCTCTTGGAGCACTGACTCACCTGGTGGATGAGGAAATATGTGTCTGACACCACATTGTCCCAGACACCAAATATGTGAGGGTGGCTATCCTAGATCATCCAGCTCTGAAATATTCCCTCTTCCAGGTCTCAGCTCAGATGCCATTTCACCCAGCACATGATGCTACTGATAGATTTCCATGTACCTTTCTCTCCTCTTACATGTAATGTTGTATCTGAGTAACTTCTGTTTCCTACATTAGAATCTGAGTACCCCAAGACCAGAGTTCTGCAGACTGCCCCCACTGTAGTCCTAACATCTAGAACACAGTACTCAGATTACTCAGATAACTGTCAGCTGATCACAGACCCACCCACGGGCAAGCCAGCCAAGATCAGCCAGTCCTAGCAGAGCTCAGTTCATCTATCCAACTGACCTAGACTCATGAGCAGCAATAAATGTAAGCTGTTTCAAGCTACTGAGTTCTGTTTAATTGTTACACAACACTACTGTGGCAACAATTTATGTATCTATTACCTATGCAGTACCTACTACCTGTGCCACATGTGGGAAACCTACACTTTTCCAATTATGTTCAAGAGAGGAAAATAAAAGTTCAAGCCTGTACCTGTGGCAGGATAGTTATGCGGAATGATTGGCTGGAGTTCTCGTCTCTCAGGTAGATGGAGATTTTAGGAAAGTAAGACCAAGGTGTTTCGGAATTAGTCCAGCATGCCAGCTGGGCCCCTGTCCAGAAGCCGTCAGAGAATTCTGGAATCTAGACAAAAAGAGATCATGGGAAAAACAATGACAAGTCTGGCACATTAGAGGAACAGCTCCTGGCCTCGCCAGACGCCCACAGGGCTAAACAATGTTTCATTTGGACTGAGTTGCAGAGACATCGATGCTCTGGAAGAGTGCTGGCAATAACAAAGTAATGATTATGAACAGGGCTAGACCCTGTGTAGCACTCACCAGTATCCCGTGCTGTTAGAAGTTTTACATGCCCACAACACCCCATCACTGCCATCACATTATCATCTCCACTGTATAGAGGGGAAACTGAGGCATGGGGGTGAGTCAGGTGGCCCACAGTCACACAGTACATGGCCCTTAGAATAATGAACAAATCCTCCATTTGGCCCATAAAGCCCTTTCAAGCATGACCTTACCTCCGAATCCCAAGAGCCCAGCAATTCCTCCAAGGCAGAGCCCCATGTGTGGTCCCCTCTGTCCAGAACAGACTTTTAGCAGAGGGTCACCAGGTCTCTCTTCTGAGGCACCTCTGAGTATGTCTGATCCTGCAAACTCTGGGGTAGCAGTTCAATGCTTAACTGCTTGTGCTACCCCAGAACGCCAAACCATCAATACCACCTTTTCATTCTCTTTCTCAACATTGAGGAATCCAGGGGCGTAGACTGTAGAGAGTTGTGTCGCTAAATGAAAGGAGACGCAGGTGGTTCAAATCCATCAGCAGCCTCAAAAGACCAAGATGCACAACCTCCTCCCTTGTTATTCTGTGGAGTTCTAAAAAAACTGGAGGGTCAGCCCTGAGTTGATTTAGCCTGGAGGGTAATGGGTGTGATTCACTCTAAAGCCAGCTCTCCCACTCGCTAGAAAGGTAACCCAAGTCAAGATAGAGAGATCTCTTGAATAAACCTAGCAGATAAAAGAGCAAACACCTCTTTGGTCAACATTTTAAGAAAGACAATACACCCTTGTTGGGTTCCCCTCCTCACGAGCCCTGCCCAAAACAAATAACCTGCCCTCCATGGAGTTTCTCCTTCCTGACTCAGGCAGCAGCTGAAATCAGAGGATAAATTTAGATAAGGCAAACAAATTTCATCATCTCATTCTTTGTACCTCGTGGCTTTCTTACACAGTAGCAGTCACTGCAGAAACACATGTTTGATGAACTCAGAAGTGTGAAAAAATGAGAGTCACCCCCCCTACTCCAGTCCTTCTTTCTCAGGGCTTCTGGGAGGCCCTTCCAGGAGGGAGGCAGACTCTGGGGTGTGGCCAACCACTGGTCCCATTCATATCCTTGGGACAACTTAGAAAGTCAAGCTTAAAGGTGCTCATGTTAATTTGACTAAGGATGTTTGTATGATTTAAGAAATTAACACATTGCTCCTTATTTTAGCTTGATCTGATTTTCAGCATGCATTCTAAATCTGTTGCATGCCATCGACTTCGTTCTGACTCATAGCAACCCTGTGGGTCCGTGGTTTGAAAGCACCAGCCATTCTAGAAAAAAAATCAACAAAACTAAAACAGACCTAGTTAACCGCACCTATAGAGATAATAGGCTAGGAAGCCCTATAAAACAGCTCTTCTCTGTCATACTCGGCTGCTGAGATTTGAAATCTAAGGTACTAAGAACATTTAACTGCTGTGTGTTCTGACTAAGCAGCTATTGGGGAAGATGGGGCTTTGCACTGCTTTCTGACTGGAGATCTGTGTGCCAATAAGTGTCCAGGTCCTTTCTTTTGCATCTCCCTCTGTGGGGAGCTCTGGTGATATAGTCTGTAGCAAGTGGTGCTGTTAACCCAAGTCCATATGTCTCTAGTGGTTCAAATTCAGCAGTAACTCCAAAGGAGAAAGATGACCAATAACCTCTTTTTACAATTTGTTGTTGTGAACTGTTGAGTCGAAACCGACTCATAGCTGACCATCTGGTGGATTTTCAAAGGCAATGAAATTGCCTGGCAGGAGATTGCCCGTCTTTACCTTGTGAACCATCTGGTGGATTTGAACCATTTTATAATCTAATCTTGGAAATGTGCTGGAGGGTGGAGCTAGGAGTTGGAGTAAAATGGACCCCAGGCTGGACCAGTAATTTGTCTGCTGCTAGAGAGCTCTGGTTGTGAGGAAGATGGACAATCTCCCGCAGAGTTTAAAGCCTGGGAAAACAAGTTACAGGGTCCTGTGAGTCAGTTCCAATTCAACAACATGTAACAACAATTTGTTACAGTGGTTGTAGATTTCTGAGGCCTGGGTTCTGGAGAGACAAAAGCCCTCTCTTCAAAGCCCTCTCCTGCCAGGGTTTCGAACATCTCTGTGATAGCCAGTAATGAGCAATGTACCTGACAACGTAAATAGCAAACCAGGGAAAAAAATTAAGTCTTTCAAAGTAAACAAACCAAAAATGTTTTTGGTCTTCATCTAAACTGCTAAGATCTGAATTCTGTAAAAGAATGGGATTATCCAGGAGGTAGAGGCAACTAGCAAATACTTTAAGGCTTTGCTTTTGATACATGATTTAAAATGCTGGTGGAGCACAGTACCTTTAGGGATATAGATGATGACATTTCCAGTGTGACCCCCACTGCTTTGGGGGCCAGATGGGATCACATTTATTTAGTCCAGTTGCCAGCATTTAGGAGCTGGGTGCCGGCGGAAGAGTTCCATATCCCCTCAGGGTTTAGTGAGGGTTTAGGTTAAGTGCCCCACATATAGTAGACATGCAGCAAAGAGAAGCTCTATTCATTGCCCAATCCTCAGTACTACCTCTATTTGATTGGCTGTGACACAAATGTTTCTTTTGGATGTCTGAGTGTTTTCATGAGCATCTATTCATTTATGGTCAATTCTTGCTACAGCACCAAAAATGAGTGTTTCCTGTACAAAGTCTTTACCTAGTACTTCTTGTTGTTAGGTGCTGTCAAGTCAAATATGATTCATAGTGACACTATGAACAACGGATCTGAACTTTGTCCTATCCTGTGCCATCCTCACACTTCCTGACACATTAGAGCCTATTGCAGCAGTCACTGTGTCAGTCCACCTGGTTGAGGGTCTTCCGCTCCTCTGCCAACACTCCACCTATCCCAGCATCATATCCCTCTCCATGGAATAGAAACATGCCTGAAGCATACGAATCCTCATCATGTTTGCCTTTGAAAAGCACTCTGGGTGCACCCTTTCCAAGACATATTTGTTTGTTCTTTTAGCTATCCATGGGATGTTCAGTGCTCTACTCCAACACCACAGCTCAAAGGCGTCAATTCTTCTTTTGTCATCCGTATACATTGCCCAGCTCTCAGATGGACATAACAAGTGATTAGAAAGATTGTGGCCTGGATCAGATGCACCTTAGTCTTCAAACTGACATCATTACTCCTCAATAATTTAGAGAGGTCCCTAACTGCAGATTTTCCCAGTGCAATACATCTCCTGATTTCCTGACTGCTGGTACCAAGAGTATTAATATGGATCCAAGTAAGAAGAGGCTGTCGACAGTTTCAATCTTTTCTCCATCCATCATGATGTTGCCTACCAGTCCAATGGTAAGAATCTTTGTTTTCTTGACTCTGAGATGTAATCCATACCAGAGGGTGCATTCTTTCAAGTCTTCCTCACATTCAGTAAGCAAGGTTGTGTCATCTGCATTACGCAGGTTATTGATGGCCTCCCTCTGATCCTGAAGTCACTTGTGAGTGGTGGTGGTACACTGGTTAAACACATGACTATTAAGCCAAAGTTCAGTGGTTCAAACCTACCAGACATTCTGAGGAAAATAAAATGTGACAATCTGTTACCTACCGTAAAGATGACAAGTCTTAGAAACTCTGTAAGTCATACAGTGTCATTATGAGTCAGAATCAACTTGACAGCAATAGGTGCCATGGGCTGAGGGGGGCAGTGATGGGTTAGTGATAGACATCTCCACTTCCATGTGGGAGATGCTGTCCAGTTCTTGGTCAATAAACCTCTTGGACACATCTGTAGGAGGAAGGCAAGAATATTGCTATGATGCTGAACAGATTTCAGGTGGGCTTCCAGACAGATGAGGAAGAAAGGCCTCGTGACCTACTTCCCCAAACCAGCCAATAAAAACCCTAAAGATGACAATGGTCTGATCCACAACCAACCATAAAGACGACACAGGATCGGATGGCATTTCTTTCTTGGTAGATGGGGCTGACCTGACGCAGGAGGGCTGAATTGATGGCAGCTAAAACGGAAAAAAAAACCCGTGAAGGCTGATTGTTCAACTCCTCTGTAGGGATGGCTGTGTTCAAAGACTAACTGATAGGAAATGTCACAGCAGTTGCTTGTTACAGACTCTTCAGGGATGCCAGGAAGTGGAAAGTGAGAGTGGACTTTTGGTTGTCCAGAAAAAAAATTTAAAAGTCCAATACTGTACCAGAGGAATGTATATCTGTGTTTCATTGACTATGCAAAGGCATTTGACTGTGTGGATCATAACAAACTGTGGTTGACTCTGAGAAGAATGGGAATCCCAGAACACTTGATCGTGCTAATGAGAAACTTATACTTGGACCAGGAGGCAGTCGTCAGAACAGAGCAAGAGAAC